TTGTTCAGTGCTCTAAGAACACCCACATAAAAAAAAAAAACACAACAAACCTCCTGACACAAAGAACTATAATTAAGTCACCCTACATAGAAAGACTGTCACAGCAGGAATACAAACTATGAACAGCAGGACTTTCACAGAGTCATAGAATAGTTAAGGTTGGAAAGGACTTTAAGATCATCTACTTCCAAGACCCCTGCCATGGGCAGGGACACCTCACACTAAACCATCTCACCCAAGGCTCCATCCAACCCGGCCTTGAACACTGCCAGGGATGGAGCATTCACAACTTCCTTGGGCAACCCATTCCAGTGCCTCACCCCCCTCACAGTAAAGAGCTTCTTCCTTATATCCAGTCTAACTTCTCCTGTTTAAGTTTGAACCCATTACCCCTTGTCTTGTCACTACAGTCCCTAGTGAAGAGTCCCTCCTCAGCATCCTTGCAGGCCCCCTTCAGATACTGGCAGGCTGCTATGAGGTCTCCACGCAGCCTTCTCTTTTCCAGGCTGAACAGCCCCAACCTTCTCAGCCTATCTTCATAGCGGAAGTGCTCCAGTGCCTGATCATCCTCTTGGCCTCCTCTGGACTTGCTCCAACAGCTCCGTGTCCTTTTTATGTTGAGGACACCAGAACTGCACACAATATTCCAAGTAATGTCTCAAAAGAGCAGAGTAGAGGGGCAGGATCACCTCCTTCTACCTATTTACTTATAAAGGATATTATCCATTTTGCTAAAAATCAACACTTTGTAAGAAACAACATGCTGTATTAAAGTAATAAAAAAAAAATCCAGCTTCTGACAACAGCTACAGGAGAAAGGCCTATGTTAATTACACTGACATGCTACTTGATTTTAATATCAAGGGTGAGAATCTGAACATTATCACCTTAAATAAGATGCAAGAAGCAATCATTCAAAGGACTCTCTTCTTAAATCAGGTAACTGGTAACTCATTTTATCCCTAGAACTGCCAGAACTATGAACAGACATTAACATCTACATCTAGAATGTAAATTATAATTCCTGTTACTGCTGCAGCAAAAAGCTGGTATTTGTGAAAGTGAATTCAATGAGTTCTTAAGATTTTTTCCCCTCCTATAATGCAGAAGGGTGACTTAGTGAGATCAATGCAGGAGTTCAAAGAGCTTTCTCAAGTAAAATAGAGGCTACAGCTACACAGGTTATTCAAATCACCTTTGGCTGCAGGTCTCCCTATTCATGTACTCATCATTACCTAAAAAATACAGAACACACCCTACAACCTCTTCTTCATATAGCATATCTACTTTAGAAGCACTAAACGTTAGCTTGATTTGCTAATAAAGGTAGCTTTTAATAAAAGAAGAAAAGGAAAAAAAAAAAACAACCAAAACCTAGTAGTTTGAGGCTTGCTTACTTGTGCAATCTGGATAGCTTGATTACTGTTGAGATCCCACATTTTGGCAGTTTTATCACAGGAAGCAGTAAATACTTTACTCCCATCCTAAAAAACAAGAATAAGGCCAATAGATTAAATACCCCTATCATGCTACCATGCAGTATTTATTAGAAAATTGTCAAGTCTTATTCTCTTCTAGTAATACCATAACGTTAATGTAACATATACAGGGACTGCAAGACAAAGAAGAAACATAAAAATGAGAATTTATGTATGACTACGTTGTAAAAAAGAAAACTGTTAGCTGTTATCTAACTTTAAATATATTCTTACTTTTAAACTCATTTATCCTTCTTACACCATGTTGGTGTATTTGATTAGGGCACGCTTAGCATGCATTTACTGTAACATAAATCTATACAGTAATTACAGGCTTCATCTACACATAGCACTCATGTCATCTGGAAACCCCATGCCATCTCACTTAGGGTTTAGGTAAAAACTGTTAATCTATTTTTAAATAGGAACATACATCACTCCAGCAGCCATCCAATACAGGCCCTGTGTGCATCTGCTGAGCCTTTGGAATTGTCTGTCCATTATCTTGAACTTCCCAGCAGCGAACCTGTAACAGGAGAAGCATATGCAAATGTAACGTAGTAACACGAAGGACTTAAAAAGAAGTACCTCATGATTACGTATCACCTCCCAGTGCTTTCCTGAAGAACCCTTAACCCTCAGCTACACAGGCTACTGGCCAACAGACATAACAGTTAAAAAATGCTTCATGTTTGTCTAACCTCCCTGTTTGTCCCAGCTGGGATCTCACCCTTCAATCCAATAAAATTCAGTAAGGTTGTAGGAACTTCATTTTTTTGAGGCTGCACTGTCAAACCGGATGATTTACCGGTGTATTCACAGTTCTTTCACTGTGCAAAGCCAAACAAGTAGGGAAAATAAAAATAAAACTAATAAAAATCAAACAGGGAAAACACTATGTATTTCAAGCTGAAGCTTAAAACACACAGGCAGAGGAATGACTTATCAGAATATCACAACAGAGTTTCTCAGTTAAAGCAGTTTGGCTACAACAACCAGACATAAATTTTGCAGTGAGGAAGATTTTCAGGTGCTCTGGCATAAGTTTTTAGGATTGCATTTTGCATTTTAGGCACCAGTGCTTCCACTTTATGAGTACTTACATCATTTGCCCATGATCCTGCAATGAGGAAATTACCCGGCAATGTTGGTGGACTAAATGCTAAACAAGATATGCTGTCATCAGGTGGAGATGTTACTTCAATATCCTAAAAAGGACAAAGCACAAAAAAGAAATAAATAGCTTTAAACTGACAAAAGGGAGACTGAGATGAGACTCTGTGACAGTGGTGAGGCCCTGGCACAGGGTGCCCAGAGAAGCTGTGGCTGCCCCATCCCTGGCAGTGTTCAAGGCCAGGTTGTACGGGGCTTGTGCAACCTGCCCTAGTGGAAGGTGTCCCTGTCTGTGGCAGGGGGTTGGAACTGGATGAACTTTAAGGTCCCTACCAACCCAAACCAGTCTGGGATTCTATGAAAGCCAAATCTGAAAACTGTGCACTGAGATCCTACTATTTCTATATGACTAATAAGTAGATACTGCTATGACACATTAAAACACAGCAGCAGAACAGCAGTTCCCACGGGGGGACAATACACATACCTTCATTGGATTATGGTTATCTGCAGTTGTACTGCCAAACATTCCGGTACCTCCAGTACCAAACCCTGACGTTGATCCAAACAGGCTCATCCTTGCTCTGCAAACGAGAAGGCTTACTGAGACCAGCAAGGCCCTCAAGCATGCTTAAGGTGCCTCGCCACTAAACCAGCACAGCCCTCAGCCCGCCTGGCTGTACAAATACAAGCAAAGCAAACAATGACGCTTCTCACTGCGGTTGGACCCTGACACCTCCACCCCCCCCCACGCTCTGAGGGACCCCTGCTCGGGACCGCAAGAGCCACTCCCTCTGTGCCCCTCACCCACAGGCCCCAGCCCCACATCTCTGCCTACATCCCGCCCGACGAGGCGGCGCGGATGCTGCGAGGACGCGCCATGTCGCGGTGGTCCCCGCTTCCCTGCCGGCAGCGGGCGCGGGCAGCGGCCGTTCAGGAGATCAGCTGGACCTGGGGCCGCCCATAAGCACGGAGCAGACCCGAGCGGCGGCCCGCACTCACCGGGGTGGCAGGCCCGCTCCGGCCCGCGGCTTAAACCGACGCGGCGCAACAGATACCGCGGCAGCGGCGCAGGGCAGGCCGCGGCTTTCTGCGCAGGCGCCGCCGTCAGTGGGCGGTAGCCGCGCCTGCGCCGTGGCCAGTCGATCGGGGCGGGCCGGGCACGGGCTGTTTGGGGGGCGGTGTGGGGTGGGCTCTGCGCGTCTCAGCAGCCCCGCCGCGCTGTGCAGGGCGCATAGGAAGGGGTGAATTACATGTTCTTCCCCTGCGCTGCGAGGAACGGGTTACCCGAGCGGCGACGGCTGTAGCCCTGCAGGAAACGGTGCAAACGGGGTGGAAGGAGGTGGTGTGTCAGGCGCGGCAGAGCGCGGCCAGGCCCGCCGCGGCGTGGGGACGCGCCGCCCGGTTCAGCTCGGAGGGTGTTCACCGCGGTAGGAGGCTGCCCCGCCGGCTCTCTGCGGCCGGGATGCCCCGTGTTGCTCTGCAGCGCTGCGCCGACAGTCTTGGCCCTGCCCTGCCGTGCCGACGGGATCGGCCTTGCGTTCTTACCCACGTTGTGCTCATGGACGGTATGAGGTACTAGCAGGTAGTAGCGCCGCTGCTGTGCAGTCGATGAAAAGGAATTTTAATTCCTTTTGAATTTAATACTGCTGGAACAGTAGTAAATAAACCAACTGCATAAACCTGAAAATACTATAAGCATACTGTCAGCAACACCCATGCAGGTGGCTGCGTAGGTCACTTTTGGAGTATTTAGTCTGCAGCCAGTCAGGTTTCCTCATCTAAAATTTGTTGCACGATTTAATCGCCACAGTTTCCTGCTCCTTTGGACTGTTTTAGAGCCAACTAAAAAAAATGAACAAGGGATTCTGTTACGATGTGCATCATTAACAGGATTGTTTATTAAATTCTTAGCAACATTTGCTTGCTCTCTTGTTCATTGAAGACAAACAGTAATTTGGTTGCTGGAACATTTATAGCTGCTTGAGATATGCAGTAATGAAGAATTATCTTGACTTTTCTGTCAGAATTTACAGCGAACACAAAATGCCACAATCCTGTACTTAAAATAATTTACAAAAGGAGGCAATAAATTGTTAACAAAGCCTTTTACTCTCTTAAAAAGGTTGGTACAGCATCATCTTGTGCTGTAAGACATGAAGCAAAGCAATTCCTGATACCTTTTTTTTTTAAACTTAACATTTTATGGCCACAAAGAGCGTATTTCATTATCTTTCTATCTCTGTACCATTGCATTTGACATTGGTATATGGCAGAAGCCCCAGAACAGAAGCAACAGTAGTCTGTAAATCACAATTTCTCTTACAGTTTAAAAGAGGAAAAAGAATAATAATGCATAAATAATGAAACCTAGGAGGAAGCTGGCACATACTCCTTCCTCTGACATTTTTTCTAAGAGCAGTCAACAATACCGGAAAAACATTTCACTTGCAAACAAGCATTCATACCCATCCACCAAATTGTAGTTTGTTTGGTAAATAGACTCTGGAAAGGTAATCTGATGAAAGAGAAGTTAGAACTTGAATTTCAGCCTTCAGCTTAGATGCTTCCATAATTTCCAGCTAAAAAACCAAACCAAAACAAATTAATATGTGATGCTGCCCAGCCTCATCCAGGGGTAGGCAGTTAATAAGTAAGAATTACACTTGTTGGATGTGTAAAATCAGTATTACTGGAAATGGTGTTCCCAAATCCCTGTCACTGAGCTGAGATTCAGTTTATTGTATGTTTGTGTGTTCTGTAGTGTTCACCTCACAGTAACACAATTTCTAAGATTAGGATAACCAGCGATGAGAAGGTATGCAAGACCTTTTCTTCCTGTTTAACCATTTCACACAATGTATGCCTGAATTGAGATAGATGCTTCAAAAGCTACCGGCAAGATTAGAGATCGAGTAAGTAGCTGCTATAAGCATTCCCCTACTTGTAAAGACATAATCTGTAATATTTAGGAGAGCCATAAAATTCCTTGTGATCATCAGAAGACTAATGGCAGGAAAGATTTAAATACTGCCAGTTCTGGCCCACTGACTGAGAGAGACATCCCAGGGCATGGGATTTCCCTTTGAAGGTAGCAAAACCTTGCTGGTTCTGCTAAACTGAGAGTTTGTCATCATATAGCAGGACAGGATTGCAGAGGGTAGGGTTTGCCCCCTGAGAGTAAGAAATAGGAAACAGTGGGTTTATACATACTTCTTTTTTCCATGTTGGCTGACAAGCAATGTAAGGTCTCTTCTGTATACTTGCTAACTTATTTTGATCTTGCTTTGTAAATGGAATCAGGACGTCTTTGCGTATATTTAATCTGAAAAGAAAATAAAGTTGTTAGATTTTCTGGTATACTTCAATATTTATTCCAACTTATTTCTTTATATTAAGCCGAAATAATGTATGACAAAAATAATGGATTTAAATGTTGGTTGTCTTTTAAGTCATTAAGTCAGATTGCGTTTTCTGTCTGTGAAACAGAAGAATACTATTTCTTTTGGGGAAATAACTAACCTCTGGAGATCAGATGGAAGGAGACCAAGCCATTTTATAGACGGAACGGTGAGATGATGGGCCTCAAAAGACATGGACTAAAATAAGAAAGGTCAACTATAACATTCAGTGAGTTTTAGTTTAAATTATTTGAGATAAAAGGGATACAATAAATAAGGGATAAAGATAAAAATAAGATACAAAAAATAAGGGATAAAAGGGACATGGAACTGTTGGAACAAGTCCAGAGAAGGGCCACGAGGATGATCAGGCACTGAAGCACCTCCTGTATGAAGGTAGGCTGAGAAAGTTGGGGCTGTTCAGCCTGGAGAAGAGAAGGCTGCGTGGAGACCTCATAGCAGCCTTCCAGTATCTGAAGGGGGCCCATAGGGATGCTGGGGAGGGACTCTTCATTAGGGACTGTAGTGACAGGACAAGGGGTAATGGGTTCAAACTTAAACAGGGGAAGTTTAGATTTGATATAAGGGAGAAATTCTTTCCTGTTAGGGTGGTGAGGCACTGGAATGGGCTGCCCAGGGAGGCTGTGAATGCTCCATCCCTGGTGGTGTACAAGGCCAGGTTGGATGAAGCCTTAGGTGGCATAGTTTAGTGCAAGGTGTTCCTGCCCATGGCAGGGGTGTTGGAACTAGATGATCTTAAGGTGCTTTCCAACCCTAACTATTCTGTGATTCTATACCTGTATTCCAAGGTCATGGTCAGATTTATGAAAAAGATAAGTAGTTATTTTCACTGTCAGAATGGTGTAGGAGAAGACACCTGAAACTTACCGTATCTCCTTGCCAGAAACCATTCCTTCACTAAGATTTGCATCCTTCAGCCTATGGCAGATTCTAGACCCATTTCAGTCCCATTTAGGCTGGTCTAGTCTGAATAGCTTTGGTGTGGTTTTTACAGTTAATTTGAGACTGATTGCCAAAACAAACATAAAAATAAGCCTGGAGGAGCAATGACAATCAAATCTGGAAATTTCTGATATTTTCTGCTGGAAAGTATGACATCATATAAAAATACCCCCCACAGATGGCCCAGTGTCATGGCTACAGTAAATATCTTAGGGAAAAGTGTAAAAAACAAATAAGCGATTAATGATACTTCAGAATACTCCCCCATGCTCCCAATGGTTTGTGACTCCTACTTTCTGAGCCAGAAGTGGTGGTGGTGGTGTGTAACTTAATATTGGTGGGTTGCTTTTAGAATCCATGAAAACTTTTTGTCATCTATAGCACCCTACAGCAAACTATCACAGATTATATGTTGTATAAAGGAATACTTCCATTGTTTGAAATGAACTTGACATGTTCTAGTTTCATTTGATACACTTGTTGTTCTGAAACTGAACAAAATGAACTTACAAAGGAAGATGACAATTTATTTTAGTCCTGGAAGATGGTGTTTTATCAGTGTACACACCTTTGTAGGAGAGCTGAAGGTGTACCAAACAGTTCACTCAGTTCCTGTCCTTTGCCTTCCACATGGTCTTCCCGTACCCTCATCTTTTAGCAAATCTTTAATAGCATAATGCCTTCTTGTTCCCTTTGCCTCTTTTTCTGCAGTGTTCCACACTAACACATAGATCCATAAGCAAATTCTCACCCCAGACCAAAACCTTTACCAACATAACATATTTTTGTGGAAAATCACCCATCTCACAAGCTATGTCCTCCTCCTCCCAAGGTCCCTCCAGTCTTCATTTCTCTTCTAAGGCAGAAACAAAGCAAACTGGAGAACACTTTTCTATTTGGAGTGCCTGAAAGCTGCTTTGTGCAGCAAGCAAAAACTGTAAAATACAGTTAAATGGTGAAATACAGTTAAGTGAAACACCTGTCATTTTCAGCCACTTTCTTTTTGTTTCAGGAAGAAGCATTTCTGCAGAGACACAAAGCCTAAAAACTGTGTCTTTATATTGAAACAAAATGGTAAAAGGCATTCTAACCATATCTGTAATAACATTTCATATGTTCTAGCTTCAAGGGTGGGCTACAAAACAATGTATTTGAAGTGGAAAAATTATACTCACCACAGATCCATATTTGTAGATGCACATTATTTCTACACCTGGGTTGCAGAGTACCAAATGTCAAGTGTCAGTTTATCTGCACACTAGGTGTGTGTAAGAATACTGCATTGAAAAATTTCAGTTTTATGGTGTAACTATTCTGGCTTTCTGATTGGTTCTTTATGGGTTACAGTTATTTTTAGACTATTTCAAAATAATCAGAATTTGAGCATAATATGTCATCTTTATGCAGTTCAATGTTTCATGCTGCCTGTGTATAGTCAATTAAAACCCAAGGATAATCAGCTCTTTCACATATTGTCCAACAGCTGTCACAGATGTGCCTATCTGTACTGTGTAACCCGTATCCCTTAGTACTATTGCTTTATTTGGTACAAGATTCCTATTAATATGTCAAAGCACAACAAATCATCACAAAGGGTAATGGTATATTCAGTGGGAATGTAAAGCCAGTACTGACATTTCAGTTAAACTCCTTCCATCCTCCTAAACATATTCTGCATAAATCAGGAACCTCCTGATTGTGTTGAATCTCTGTGCTCTCAGTGCCTTCCCATAAACGTGAGAAAAGACATTGTAAATAAATATTTTCTTTCATGTCATTGAACTTCTACAGATTTACCATGTGGATCTGCATCCATAAGGGTGAAAATAGGAATCTGAAAAGAATCCCATAGCTTTCTGACCAGAAGTCGTGTGTTAAGATCTGGTATACCTCTTCCCTAAGGAAACAAAATAAAAGCAGTCAGTTTTTATATTAATTAAAACAACACTGGAGTACATACATGTTGACATTTGTCATTTAAAAGCAAGCAAGCATACAAATGTAATGGTGGCAGAAATATTTCTTCAGCAGCTATTTTACTCCTGGTGTGGCTCTGTGAGGAGGGGAGGAAGGTCAGGCTGGGGAGCGGGAAGGCAGATGTTCTAATGTTCTAACATTACAGGCACTGCAGAAGTATCATACGTTCCTCTGCTTAAGGAGTTAATTTGTAAGGTCAGGGAGTTGACATATAGATGTACCCCGGTATCTGCATAAGCTGGTGTATGAAGGCCGCTTTTTTCTTCTCAAATACATTTATGACACTAGTGAAACAATATAAGACAAGTTCTTGCTATCACTGAACCTAACAGGACAAAATGTGGCACAGTATAAATGTTTATCTCTCTTAGGTGAGTGGATGTCGTTTTTTCCTCATTGTGGGACAGATTTGTCCCAGAACAAGGAGGTATTGCATTTTCCATTTACACATTTGTATTAATTCTCCAGGTTCTGTAACTTTTTCATTACAATCCCAAAATCAACCAGTTCTTTCACTTGTGTTTGCTAAACCTAGGATCCTCAAGGACAAAAGGTTACTCAACTGTTAAGCCTGTCTGGGACTGTGTGGGGCAGCTACTTTGCAGCAGCACATGACGTTGTTAAGCTGCTAAACTCTAAGATGATGTTTGGAGGAAAGAAGTCTTTAGAATGTGTGTCTTGTATTTCTATGAGGATAATAAAATTAAAAATAGTTAAATATGTTTCATATTAATTTTATTAAAGTCTTTGGATGAAGTCTGAGCACCACTATAAATAATACTATTATTTAAATTCTTACATCTAGCTAGACGATATGAAATGTAAGATGCATACCGTAATCATTATACATGGGGACAATTTGTTGCAGAAGTCATCATCGAGGAGTCTCTGAAAAGTTGCATCTTTTTCTACAATTAACATAAATTTGGCATGTGAGATTAAATCTTTTCTGTTAAGGCTAGCTGCATGTAAAGTGATCCATCAAACCAATCAATTAGAACTAAATGCTCTAAAATACCAGTTCTGGAGCCAAAATCAGTGTTCATGACCCAATTTCGGAGCCAACAAGTAAAGAAAAAATTACCAGAACATTGTTTAACTTGGAATATTCTTTGTTTTTACTTTATTCTTTCCATCTACGAGAGTTCTTGCTCAAAGGATACTTTTAATTCCTTGAACATTAGATGGCACAGTGACTGCCTAAAACAACAAAAATGAGATTAATCATTTTAAATAGAGAGAATTATATATTTTAAAATAACAACATTACCTAATGAAGGACATAATTGCATCCTGAAACAGCCATTCATCTTCTACATATAAGATCAATTTTGACATATTCACCCCTTTATAAGCATATTCCACCATTCATATCCTGCTCTACTGTGTAGTTGTGTAAAAGTCCTTTTACAGCAAGATGCTATTCGGAAGTGTTTGTGCTACTGTCACAGAAGATTATTCATCATATGGTCATTGCAGAGAGAACAGAATTCGATTAATTTTTGACCATTGTAGCCAAAAAAAATGTCAACTTGATGTAAAGACTGCAAATTTAATACAGGCTTAAAACATTTAAGTATGCTCTTTGGAAGACCATTAAATCCTTTCTTTTATTAAGATATATATATATAGGGTATATCTAGGTTATATAAAATCAGGTTAATATATATATTATGTATAAGATACATAAAATATGTATAATATATATATTAACCTTATTTTATAAGTATTTTGGAGTAACAATTTGAAGACATAGTAATGTTTCCTTTACACCTCATATTAGAATTGGCTCAATCTGGCAAGCATATGGATGAGAAAACAGGAACTGGAGGAAGAACTTGGCAACAGAGTGGTATGTATTGAAGTGTGTGGCCTGTTTTTACTGCTGTCTCTCAGTCACCTCTCGTGCCAGGGTGAAGCAACTCAACAAATAAAAATATTATGAGCTGTAGAAGAGCATTAATAACAGGGAACTTTACACTCTGCTTAAAAAAAAGAAAAAAGTAATAGGCAGCTAGGGTTATCTTTTCATTCTGAAATTACCCACTTAGGCTCACAATGAACACATTTCTCAGGAAACCATTACAACAGTCACCAAGCCTTAGTTCTGTTTCTGCTTTCATGTGCTGCACAAAGCTGTAGATCTTTCAGGACTAGATTAATTGAATCTCCTCTCCTCAAACCACTTTTGACTTGTTTTCTTACTCTGCCAATAATCAATCTATTGTGACAGAAATTAAGTATGTTCAAAGTGCCCAGACTTCTTTGATTCAGAGCACTCATTTGACAGAGCACTGGGATATAAAGCCCAATATACACAATAGATACACCTTCCTCTGCAAGGCTCCTGTGGCAGAAGGTAGTGCAAAAAGGCATATCCAAAGGATATATTCCTGGTGAGCATATAGCTGAGCTTCAGAATTGCAATACAGTTGAGCAATTTGCCACAAGTACTGGTCTGTATAATAAATGCATACAGTAACCTGACCTACAAAAAGTGCAAGATATCATGCAAAGGTAGATGCTATGTATGATACGTACTGTTGCACTGCAGCTACAATTCACTTTTGTACCATCTTCCTCGGTATAACTTAAATTACCAGCCACAAAACCTTTAGTTGTAGACAGCTGAAAAAAAGGGCAAGTTGTATACAGTAAATTGGAATACACCAAGCAATGCTATTGTCATCATGGACATAAAGGCATACTTATAATAAATTATGTTAACACCACCATTTTTAGATATGAAGGAATTCTTCTAAGGCATGAGATACAAGTAAATTTGAAAGGTTGTTTTTGTCTGATGTACCTTAAATTTTCACTTAACCTCCAAGTTAGCAAGTCATTAAAGTAAAGTGATGTCCTGCGGTCTGAAGTTTAAGCTCTGCCTTCACTAGATAACAGCAAAAGCCCCTGTGACATTAGCTGGCAGCTTGTCCCAAATTCTTTGGAGCAAGCAAACTATGAGTTTTCTCTGAAGAAAGAAACCTTTTGAGTGCTATGATAAACCATAATTAGGTTTCATTTGCACAAATGACACTTTATATTTTAACTATGCATTTCCTACTGATACCTTTTCTTGGTTTTTCACCTTTCAGTTCAATCTATATGATCTGGAAATAATGATAAAAAACATTCATAATAATCCACTTACTACATGTAGACTTCTCCGAGGTATCCTAAGCATGCAAGAAATGTCATTGATTATGTTGTCCACAACACTTTGGCTACCAAACAGTAGTATATCTGAATAATATATATCTCTATCAAGACAAAATATTGGATTTCTTATTATAATACTGAAACGGCTGTAGGCTTATGAGAATTTTATTGAGAGCATAGATAATCGGATGAACCTAAAATATTTTACATACAGAAATCCATTATCCTACAGGTCTGCATCCTACAGGCTGTTTTTCACAGTTAACAGTCTCAAAATACAACTTTATTTGAAATTACAGAAATGTAGCTTGTTACCTTTTAGTTGCATAAGTATTGCTCTGCACCATCTTGTAGATCATAGATAGTATTTTGAGCATCAGAGCTGAAAAAACACGTTTGTACAAACTTTACCCATTTTCAGAAATGCATATACAATAATTGGTCTTTATATTGACTCGTATTTGTGTCTGATAAAGAAAACTTTGAAACACATATTTTAATATGCCAATACAGGGAGACTGTAGTAACCTATTGACTCTATAGTTTCTAGCATAATTAGAAAAAAAAATATGATGGAGCTAAGTGAGGGAATGTATGCTCTGCTGTCCAGGCCAGGAAATTAAATGACTGGGTTAGAAAAAGAAATTAGCCTGTTGTCTGTATTCCAAGATTCCTTTACTAGCTAGCATTCTGAAGGGTGATGTTTTTACATTAAGACCTTTCAAATATCCCTTAAGCTGATATTCAGAGAGGGTAGAAACTGTAAGAACGCTGTATTCATTTCACTGTCACTCACTATAATTTAATAGAGAAAAGAAAAGCTGAAGGGATGGTCATAATATCAGGTTATATAGCGTGAGGTGTACCTGCCCATGGCAGTGGGGTTGGAACTAGATGATCTTAAAGTCCTTTCCAACCCTAACTATTCTATGTACTTCTAAATCACAGTGAATAATGGGTTTATTGTATAGTTGGTTTGTTTTTTCTTTACAAAGCTTTGAACTAAAATACAAAAATTAAAAATCTGCTTTTGGACTTTTTTAACTTACCGAATTTTGGTGCTGATCTAGGGCAGTCACTTCTTATTTGTTTTGTAGTATAATGTGGTATCATCTGTAGACCTACAGAATCTTTAAATCTGACACATTGCAAACAAATACAATAAAACTGTAAACTTCCTGAGAATATGTAAATTGTTCTCTGCAAGGTAATTTAGACTCAGACCCCTCTCCTATAATCAAATTTGCCAGTGGTGTTTTCAGACTTGGTACAGAAACCATCAACTTTGGTGTAACTGCAGTGGCCAAAAGAAAAAGGTGGGCAGTAGCCATCATCTGCCAAAATGACTCATTCAAAACACTGTTGAAATACCCCCAGGATGAGCAATAGCTTCAGAATATGAAAAAGTTTCTCAAGAAGATGCCTCAAGACTGAATTTAAGCCTAAATTACGTAAATGTCCAGACAAAAGTAGAATTTTATATATGCTTGTAACTGTTCATGTGTCAGCATCAATTATTATTTAGCATGAACAAAGTAATAAATAACACGAAAAACTGCGACTCACTATTAGAATACAAATCAAATCTGACACTGACTTTTTCACATCAAATGTATGGAGAAGTGTTATTTCATATTTCAATAATATTGTTTTAATTTATGTTCCTAAATTATTATCAGAGTAACTCAAATGCATTCCATTATTAACTTTTGGAAACAAAAATGTGGTCCATCTTATTCTCTGAACAGTTTTTGATCTAAATGAGCTCCACTATTTCGTGCTTCACTATTTCATGTCTGAAGGTGTACATTTCACTAGAAGAAGCAGTTATTTTCTTAAGGACACTTCATTATTTTACTTAAAATAATTTTAGTGCCTTATGCTATGGCAGTCCTGTCTTTAAAGCATTATTTTCCAGTTCAGAGTTTTGTTGTACTTTTAAAGAGTATTGGTGGTAAAATGGCTATAGTTTTACCCAAAACCACATCGTGTTTCTTTATTTATCAAAGCTTTTGCTCCGTGCATCCTTTAGGTGGCAGAACACACCACGGTGCGCAATGCAAAGAGAGCAATAACAAACAGAGTAGCATCTGCCTGCCAGCTTTACAGCAACTTTCTTGCCTTTGTGCTGCAACATTGCACATTCCCTACACTGTAACTGCACGGGGGGGAAACAGTAATCATACTGCCGGATTGCTCTCTCAGGTTAAATAAGGAACACTCCTTTCAAAAAGCAGCATGCTTTAGAACCTGACCAGTGTGGCTCCCACAGATGTTTCATAAAGGCAACTGCAAAGTGGCATTAGATTGGACATTCAGCAATTCTTCTTGGGATTGCATTTACCCTAGCAAAGTAGTTTCTATAAAATCTTCTTTCCATTACTTTCTAACTGACAACATTCCCAGGTAAACACCTCTCTCAGCATCTACAAATGTTTACAAGGAACTTTTCAAACATGAAATCATTTTCTGATTCTACTAGTTCCTGTGCAGCAGATTCCAGCTGTTTAGACTGAGTATGAAAAGTATTCTTCTTTATGACTGAGTATAAAGAAGAAAAAAATTGCCCATCGACTGTATTATCTTCCATTTGTATTACATTTTGACATTATGTTTTTATTTTTGTCTATTTTTATTTTAATATTTTAAAACTGCTGTATTAAAGGGTAATGTAGGTCACTATAAATGGAAATGCATATTTGAGATTACATTTCTTCACCATAAATAATGGTTCAGCTCTTTAAAATGTGATTGATGAGTCTTATTTTTAACATACTGTGATGTTAACTTGGTTTAATTTGAACGTTTCACACACCCCCCACCCCCCCCTTCTGATGGCAAATAACATGTCACATTTGTTTTTCTAGCCTGGAATGCCATTTCCCTGAAGACTGCCAAAAATTGCAAAACTTTGTTACAGTATTTTAATTTTACAGACATCCCAGTGAAACATTTTTGTCAAACTATCAAGACACAAACTATTAAATTCCCTGGAACATATGAGCCTTTCAATTAACTGATTACCTGCAGTTCCCTCAGGTTTTCTGATTGACAGAAATTTATTGTTCTCATTAAATAAGTATTCCACCAAAGTGCTACACGTGGAAGGTTTGCTCTGCCTTCTCAACCTCAAATGTTCTTCATACAAGCACTTCTGCAACCTTATCAATCTAAATATCCATTAACCCTTTAACTGACATCTAAAGCTATTACAAGACAATAAATAGATTGTGTCTTCCTTTATCCTTTTGCTTCTGTATTACAGAAAACAACTAATGTCTCATTTTAGGTATTTTCAGTTTAAATGAGCTCTTTGGAACAATACTGTTCCACAAGCAACTTCTACAAATCATGAAGTGTGTTATATAGGAGGCCAGATTGTTTTTTTTCTCTGATCCTGCCTAGATAAGCTGGTATAGGAGCTGAAATTTAGACAACATATTAGAAACTTGGTTTGCTTTATTTGGCTGGCAATTAATTTAGAACATAACACAGGTAAGGAATACAACAGGAAAAGGTGAGATGCATCTTCTTTGAAGAACAAAAAGATAAGTTTAGCACCATCGTTTTAAGAAATAAGATACCATAAGGGAAATCAGAGAAAGAAAAAAGAAGGCACAGAAGGGGCATTGGAGGATGAAGTTGCTAGTAACTGTTTCCAGCCTAAACCAGATTTTTTCACTCTAAACAACTTAACATTTCTGGTTTCTACTGCTTCCACAAAATGGTTGTTTATAGGAACCCCCTTTCCTTTCTAACCCCTATTACAGTAGTTTTACATTCCCTTTTATGTTATGGTCTGCTATTACTTAATACATGATGCCTGTTCATGCAGAGTGGTTACTAAGCATTACTTCTTATTTGCCAATTACTTTTTAAGAAGTCAAATTATTTATTGATACTAATACTTACAGAACTATGTGTGATTAACTTTTCTGGAAGTTACATAATCAAATTTATATTCATAGCATTTATATTAATTTAATGCAGGACTTTAAAATACAGAATACTTACTCTATGTTTCTCCAATCTGATCGCCTAGCCACCGTGAGTACAGGTGCTCTGTTTTGGGCCAAGCTCTTAAGTACATCTAGAATAACATTTTCTATTGCTTCAAGAACTTCAGCACTGAAACAAAGAAAAATAATGAAATGGATCATATGATATCTAGTTCTACTTTGAATGTTGATCTTCTGTCCCCCATCCTACAAAAATAAGGTAATACAAAACTGCTTCAAAGATATATCTGTTTCAAAATTGTGGAGGAACCCTTTTGTTTTTTTTTAATTTTGCCTTGCTCAGTTTCCCTAAAATCTTTGACTTTCCATTCCTGATGCATGACTGAAGACACAATTAAAAGTACATTTCTATTCAATCCTGAAACCATCAAATTTTTCACCAGCTGAACTTTTAGACCAACTGGCTGGTTTGTAACTAATGATTAATGTTTTACTATAAATGATGTAATATTGGCTTTGGCTATGATTTGGGCTAAATTGTTTTTAAATGTTGTAGATTTAAAAAAATGTTCAAGAGTACAAACACTTCCTGTTGTACCATTGCATGTTAATCTTCTGATTTGCTGCCCTGAAAAAAAAAAAAAAGTTAAGGGTTTTAATTATATGAAGGTTTAGTCTTGACAGATATAATGTGAAAAGAATAAACTCTGTATCTTTCCCCTAAAAAGACAAAGTAACCTTGTGGCAGATCCCTCACAGCAAAACTGTAGGCTGGTTTGAATGTTATGACAGATGCTTTTTATTTTCATAAGCAATCTGACTCCAGATGTCCTTAAAATTACAAATGCACTGTATACCATCATAAGTTTAGGTAGAGATTAAAAGAATATACAAAACTTATTTTAGCTTAAAGTTTTAGCAGCAAAGTCCAATTTTTTCATTAATATGCTAGAAAAGAGTCAATACTGGTGCACACCACACAAAAAGAATTATCCTACTGGTACAAAATCAGCAAGAATTATTTTTAAAAGCCTGGCTATGAGTCTCCTTAAACAATACTGAAGTGTCATTAAAGCTGTCTTCTATCAATTGAATTTGTTTCTCCCATTTGTAGCTCTGCTTCCACTTGCTCCTCATTCTGCTGAAACTAGATTATCATTTTTCAAAAGCAATTTCTGGAAAGTATTGAACTTTTATTTTAAAATGTTATTCCTAACAGTATCTGTGTAAAAATTCCCACTGGTATTACTAACATCTTCGTACAATAATATTAAAACCATTCAACAATCACAATGTAAAATTTCGTCTGTTTTTCAGATGAATAAACTTGGACACAAAGCGACTAATGGCTTTCCAAAGGTAAATCAGTGAAGCTTTTGCAGTGCTGATAATACAAGAAAGTGTAGTCATGCAGCCAATATGTAAAATTCATTTTCTACTGTATAACTTCATAATCAAGTCCAAGATTCCCTAACTTTCAGACTTGTCGTCTCTTCCTCCAAATTAAAATCCTACATCTCACTGCGATATTCAAAATAGAAATTTGATTAAGCACAGAGGAAATGGTTGCCTGGTGAGCAAAACGTGTAATGCAACAAGTGGTGAGAGTAAAATTGGTAAGCAAAGTTAGCTATGGTGCAAAATTAAAGTTCTGAAGACAATAAAAACGTGTATGGGCGGATGGATGGAAGAACATGCAGATAGGAAATCTAAAACATGTCATACCTTTGGTACTCATAAATATTTTACTTATTCATTTGGTTCTGTCCACTGTGAATGTCTCAAGATTCCAGATGTAGTTTAAAGTTTGCTGTAGAATTTGAAAGTCCAGGTTTCTATTCCAATCCCAATTTCCTGTTCTGTTGGCCAACAGAAGTTGTAAATGTGGCAAAATAGGAGGAAAAGGACAGCAATTCTCCACGTAACCCCTGCTGATATTCTGTCTCTTTTTGCAGAGATTAACTGAATTTTAATAAGCAAACATACAACACTGGCCAAGTACGCCTGCTTAAAATTCACTCTGCTTTAGTTAACAGGGAAATCTGAGCAGAGAAGGGGTCACACTGCGTATCTCACAGGGTTTGCTGATCACTTCTAACAGGATGCAGCGTGAGCAGATACTTCTTTCTGTATAGCACAAGAAATGATCTTCAACATTAATAGCATAAAAGAGCAATATGATAGAACCCTTAGCACGCAAACAATATATACAACAGTTACACATAAAAATCTGCAATGCAATAAACCAGCACACTCCAAAACACAGAACTGCACGGTGCTGAAGACATGCAGTTCCCACACCTTGCCACAAAGAACAACATATATCTAAGTCATTATAATAATAATCATTATTCTTTTAATGTACTTTAAAAGATACTCCCAGTCTGTTCCACCCTCTGAGGCTGAGGCACTGTGTACAGAAAGAGTCTTTAAAGGAAATGAGAGCATGTTCTTAGTGAAGTTCACCATGTTTGTTTTGTCACTGTTTTCTGTGTTTCTGTCTGTAGCTACAGATGTTTTGGAGAGCTCTGAGGGAATGGAGATGCTGTTTGTGGTGCGAGCACCCTTTGTTTCTGTAGGGGAGCGTGTCTCCCACTGCTGCACGAGCCATGGTGCACTGCCTGCTGCAGTATTACCACAGAAAGAGAGTGCAGGTGCTATTTTCCATATCCTTTACCTAGGGATGTGGCTCTCATGGCTTGTTTCCCTGAGGCTCGCCTTGTTCCCAGCTGGTGCGTGAGTGGAACACACACTGCGGTCCTCCATGGAGGTTGGTGCAGGCCAGTCCAACTTGCCTGGAAGGGATGAAGCCGTGTTAAAAAGAGACAAAAGAGATTAATTAGGTTAGAAGATGATGTTCTGTGTGCTGGGCTCAACACTCGTGATCAGAGCTCAAGCCAGAAAGAAAAAACAGAAAATCTTTGTAGAAACCAAAGTCAAGATTTTCCTGCTCTTTCTGACTGACCAATGGCTCTTCCCGCCTTTTCTGACTGACCAATGGCTCTTCCCGTCTCTTTTGACTGGCCAATGGTACTTCCCGCCCTTCCTGACTGACCAATGGCTCTTCCTGCCCTTCCTGACTTACCAATGGCTCTTCCCGCCCTTCCTGACTGACCAATGGCTCTTCCTGCCCTTCCTGACTGACCAATGGTGCTTCCCGCCCTTCCTGACTGACCAATGGCTCTTCCTGCCCTTCCTGACTGACCAATGGTGCTTCCCGCCCTTCCTGACTGACCAATGGCTCTTCCTGCCCTTCCTGACTGACCAATGGTGCTTCCCGCCCTTCCTGATTGACCATTGGCTCTTCCTGCCCTTCCTGACTGACCAATGGCGCTTCCCGCCCTTCCTGACTGACCAATGGCTCTTCCTGCCCTTCCTGACTGACCAATGGCGCTTCCCGCCCTTCCTGACTGACCAATGGCTCTTCCTGCCCTTCCTGACTGACCAATGGTGCTTCCCGCCCTTCCTGACTGACCAATGGCTCTTCCCGCCCTTCCTGACTGACCAATGGTGCTTCCCGCCCTTCCTGACTGACCAATGGCTCTTCCCGCCCTTCCTGACTGACCAATGGTGCTTCCCGCCCTTCCTGACTGACCAATGGCTCTTCCTGCCCTTCCTGACTTACCAATGGCTCTTCCCGCCCTTCCTGACTGACCAATGGTGCTTCCCGCCCTTCCTGACTGACCAATGGCCCTTCCCACCTTTCCTGACTGACCAAGGGCTCTTTCCGCCCTTTCTGACTGACCAATGGTGCTTCCCGCCCTTCCTGACTGACCAATGGTGCTTCCCGCCCTTCCTGACTGACCAATGGCTCTCCCCGCTTTCACTAACAGAGAGGGGATGGCCCTGCCCACCCTGACAGGATCCTGTCCTGGCTGACCCCGCTGGTGACTGCGCCTCACGGCTGTCTCTGGAGCTGCTGTTATTTAAGCAGATATTTAAGCACAAACTCCATAGCATTCAGGTTTCTGGAATAACCCGTGCCAGACTGGCTACAAAGTAGCTAAATGGCTCATTAAGACTTCCCTCATCTCAACGACCAGCCATTTTTGCCTTCCCTTACTAGCAGATGTCTTTTCCTGTTCTAAGTAGAAAGCTGACAGCTCCAGTGCAACCCCACTGTTGAAAAGTCAGCTTTGTTCCCTGAAACAGAATTTGGCTTCCATTGAGATTAAAGATTTAACACTATTTTCTTCATTTGCCTTCAGCAAAAAAATCCAAAGATTTACAATAGGCTTGGGATATGGTTTCAAATCTGTCTCAATACACTGTTAAAAACTTGTGTTCTGAACAAAAAACAAACCCCCAATTCTAAGAGCCATGAATCACTGGCTCCTAAGGAAGCTGAGATTTAAGAAGAATCATAGAAGGACAGTTAGGGTTGCAAAGGACCTTAAGATCATCCAGTTCCAACCCCCCTGCCATGGGCAGGGACACCTCACACTAAACCATGTCACCCAAAGCTCTGTCCAGCCTGGCCTTGGAAACTGCCGGGGATGGAGCATTCACAGCTTCCCTGGGCAACCCATTCCAGTGCCTCACCACCCTAACAGGAAAGAACTTCTTCCTTATATCCAATCTAAACTTCCCCTGTTTAAGTTTGAACCCATTACCCCTTGTCCTGTCACTACAGTCCCTAATGAAGAGTCCCTCCCCAGCACCCCTATAGCCCCCCTTCAGATACTGGAAGGCTGCTATGAGGTCTCCACGCAGCCTTCTCTTCTGAGGCTGAACAGCCCCAACTTTCTCAATCGTCAAGAAAGAAATGCTAAATTTTATCAGGCTTATGGCTGAACCAGGACTTTCGTGATTCATGTGGGGCTCCTGGCCAGAAGGCATCGTTTCAAACTGGAGGATACACAGCCAGAGGCAGGCTGTGGGTTGAAAAGAAACCCCCCCCCGGTTATCAATTTGGTGCATTTTGTACCTGTTGTCCTTAGGTGTTTTCCTGAGGTGTCTTCCTTTGGAAGAGAAAAGAGCCTTCTCTTTCACTTCAGAAAGTTTAAATTCATTGTGTTTTAGAGAAAAAGCAGTACTTCTGGGAGACCCTGTGAAGGCCGGAAGAGAGCACCAGTGCATGGTTAGTGACTGTTCACTGCCAAAACAGCCCCTGCAGCCCCCAGTACTCCCAGAGCAGAACCATAAGCTTGTGCTTCACTGGGGTTTCAGCACAGAGTTCCTTCCCTGGCAGCTTGAGAGTGAAAAACTGCAAATCCTAGAAATCTAAACTGCCCTCACCCAGTTATTGCATGCCAAAGTGTGTTTCAACTCTGAACTATGTCACCGTAATTGCTTGACAGTGGTCATTCTGAGAAGGTTAGCAGTTACTTAGGAGATAAATATCTTAAGGCTTGTCCTTTCTAGAGGAAATTTTTTAAACCCCACTGTTGATAACATCACCTTTCATGCCCAGCAGTCAGTATTACTGGAAGCTGTGCTCTATTTAGCTCACAGCATTTCAAACCTTGTGATGCTTAGACTTGTTGCCAGCGAGTTAGATGATGCAGTGCTTAAAACGTTGGAGGCTGCTGGTTTCCCCTGCTGTTCCATTAGCTACTGCTGCTGAACCTTTCTTCTTTGGTACTCATAAAAGCAAGCCGTCCAAATCCAGCCTGGGTAGGTAATTAAAAAATCCATGCATTGATTTATTCAAGGAAAACCTCAGGCTATGATGATATGAACATAAGGTGCTTCAATTAACATGGCAAGCAAAAGAAAGGCAAATTAATGAATTGAGATTTCCAGATCTTTCATCTTAAGTCTTTGGCCTTTAGGTACCTTGAGATCACTCCAGAAATATTTATGTAAAATCTCTGTAGCTCTTTCCAACAATTTAACATCAAAATCAAGAGATTTTTGTTTGATATAGAACTGACAAAGTTACACATGCCCCTAGCAACAGATTGCAAACAAAACTATATACATCAACTTGTGAGAAGTCAATTTAATGAGTTGTCTCTTCTTCACAGCAGGAAACAGCAACTCTAAAAAAAAGCACAACTGAAATACTCAATGCTTATACCTGAGTTAACAAAACAGAGATTGAAAACCAAGCAACAATAACAAACTATATGCTTCAATCTTAACACTGCACACATAACTGCAAATATGCACGTATACATAACCATGTAAATTAGTATGCAGACTACTACCAGTAAATGAACTACTACAATCAATTAATGAATGAGCAGGTTCACCTTCTAAAGCCCTCTTTATTTATTTATATATAAATATATGCCCCCTTTTTAAACTCTGCTTCAAAAAAAAAACAAAAACACACCAAAACCAAACAACTGCATTTTTTACGTATATTAGCAGGCAAATTGCTGGGAAAACAAATAAGGAACCATTATTAAATATTAAGATGGAAGGAAAAATGTGAAAAAGGCAGTATAACCGATGCAGTTACCTCTTATCTTGCTTCTACAAACATGCGTGGTAGAGGTCACCACAGATGGCAGAGAAAAGATTATTTCTCTGAAGCTGTTAAATTTAACACGATGATTTCACCAAGTAAAACGAGGATGATAGGTAATCTTTCAGATTTGTTTGCTTTGAAAGATACCCTGTTACCAAAACGTTCCCTTAAAATTGTCTCCTATTATAAACACAGGCTCTCATCAGGGTACTTTGGAGGAAGTTGTGCTATGATAGAGTCTGTATGAGCGGTCTGATGCCAATTTCAAAGTCTGTAACTGCTGAAGAACTTGTCTGGATCAAAACCTGTTGCTACCACTACATACTACAGAATAAAAGAGCTATACAGAACAAAAATGTGCATTTATCTCAGTGCCAAGATTTTAAATCGCTTGTTACTGATTTTTCATATATAAATAACTTCATTTGTAGGATAAATAATACATAAAATACATAAAAGCATAAGTATGCTTTTTCCTTTCCCTCACTGCATACCTTGTGAAAATATTTTTCTTCTTTTCAGATGTAGTCTCTTACATTAAGATTTTATGATTGCCATAGTAAGTACTTCTCTCATGATGGTCCATCCTTAATTTTTTAATAGTCTGGTAGGCACACCAGTGGACCTGATATGCCTATTTTCAATTAATGCCAAATACCATTTGAAATCCAGTCTTTCAGAAGCCTAAAAAAAGGAACACCTCTGTAAGAGGCAATGATTTGTGCAATCATGGGTGTTTGGGCCAGGTAGGAGTGTTAAGGAGACAGATGGAGGCTTGAAAACTACAGCAGGAACAGGGGGAAAATCTCCCACTGGCCATTTAAGAGCTTCTTGGGACAATGCCTACTGTGTTCCAGCAAGCTTCAATTTCTTTCCAGCTTCCTTGCTTGTGATCTGGACAATCCTCAGAAGGACAGACCTTTTGTGAGCCAGCAGATTTTACTGTGAATACATTAGGATGAAATAGGAGCCAGATCTATCACCTTCCAGTTACATGAAAAGTTACTGATCTTTTTCTAATGAGCAAAGCCTGGAGAAATAGGAGTTGAAAAGTCATTCGCTGCTAACAGCTAACAACTTCAAATGGGATATCTCCTTCTAACTAACATGGTTGGAAAAGAAACCCCAAACTAATACATATTTTCAGTTTACCTAGCTCTGGAGTGAGAAACACCTGTACAATATTTACTCTGTGGTGAGCCAAATCACTCTAAGAGGAAGTGGGGTTTTGTTACCATTCCTTTTTGTGTGTGTTTTATCTTTCAGCCAAAAATAAACTCTAACAGGCCCTTCTTAAAAGGAAAAGTAACTTTCATCTAACCTCTGTCGCAATGATTTTCAGATCTAACATTTTCTAATGCCATTAGGGGCAGTTAT